TCCGTACCAGGCTCTGCTGCTAGCTCATTCAAAGGCAACTTAGCGACATCCATTCGATGGTCTTGCCCAATGTCATTATGAAGACCTCCAAGATGAGAGATTGGATCTCTTTGTGTTCTGCAATTAACTCAAACTTCTGATTCTAAATGGGAATTAGGTTCTTCTCAATAATTTTGGTTAACCTTGAAAAGTGGATGAATGTATACAACCACAAATAGATCAAATTTTCCTAACATTTAATGGTTCATTAAGCCATTAGCCTTTACTTCAGTTACTATGTGCTTCCCTGTGGCGTAAGCTCCAAATTGCTATTATCGATAGACATGCCGTCAATCGGAACAACAATTTTGGCGGGGCCATTATAGCAATATCTATCACTAGTGTATTTACAATGGCATCAATCATATCTGAAAGTCCAAAAAGATCTCTTAAACTTCCACCAACAACCCTCAAAATAATATCAATTTTAGTGTTTGGTTTAGAAAGTATGCTATAATAACAGCAGAAGCAAAGAATTTCCCAGCTAGTTGAAACATGACAACTTAATTAATGAAGGTGAAGATTTTAGAACTGAATGGGTACAGAAGCATCCATTGCAGCATCAATACCTAAGACAATATTTAGATCACCACCCTATCGGAGGTCAATGTCCTTTTTTGGGAAAACAAGAGGTGTCCCAGCTTGGCGCAATTTTACTATTCAACCAGATACTAATTACCTATGGGTTCAATCTCTAAGATTTTTAGCATTGAACCCATTATATTTTTAAAATTATGGGTTCATATCTACTATTTGTTGTAACAACAACAACAACCTAGTATAATCCCATAAGTGGGGTCTGGAGAGGGTAGTATGTACACAGACCTTACCCCTACCCTAAGGTAGAGAGGTTATTTTTTGATAAGGTAAATTGTATTAATCAAAAGGGAGAGAACTCCCATATACAAGAAGTATACCAAAAAGTAGAGAATTACATCAGAACATGATTTTCTACAAAAGACGCCCAATCTTCTATACAAATGGGGGCTATATGAGTGCACCAAAAGCGATCAAAGATAAAAGACTATTCTTAAGATGTGAAAAAGGAGACTCAATCCTCTCAAAAGCTCTCTTATTTCTCTCCCCCCAAACTATCTACATGAGAGCTAACGGGGCGAACTTCCACGCCTTTTGCTTTCTTCTTCTATGAAAATTGGCCCAGCTATATAGCATTTTCTTAACAGTGCTTGGCATCATCCATTGAACACCAAAAAGGTTTAGGATAGCCCTCCACAAAGCCGAGGACACATGGCAATGCAACAAAAGATGATCAACTTCTTCCCCTAAGCTTTTAAACATATAACACCAACTAACAAGTGTAATTCCCCTCATTCGAAGATTCTCAGCAGTCAAAATCACTCCCCTTGCTGCTAGCCATGCAAAAAAGCACACCTTCATGGGCGTCTTAGGAATCCAGTATCTATCAAAGGGATCTGTTTCCTCACTCCTCCAAATGATATACATAGTTTCACACACCCTTCAAGTGTTCAAGTGAGTTTGTTAAGACAAACTATGATCTTTAGTATTCCATAGCTAATATATAGAAAATATTGACCATGTGGAAAAGAAACACAGAAATCAGCTACATGCATACAATGCCAGGGTAATCTTCTATTTGCGCCATAGTAAAATAAGAAATGCGATTGCATGGGAAATGAGACAAATATGGACTATCTCCTTCTTTTTGTGAACCTCTCCTTTAGGAAGTGGAACATACTCCTCTGCCTCAAGATCAAATTCTATGGCAAAAGCATCACTTTTGCCCACTCTTTTAACCGCTCCACTGTTTTATTCAATGTAAATGACATCACCAACAATTACCTGCTCATATATCGTGGAGACATGAGATATCAACAGAGAAGATTAGGCTTCCTTGCAAAATAAGCGTATATGGGACAGAAGTAAATTAAAGACAAATATAATTCTCGCAATGCCTTCTGAGAACATGATTCAATAAGAATGACATAAAAGTTAATGAATTTACTCAAGAAAAAATATGCTTCAATCTAGATTCAAATGTTGAATGTTAAAATAAATTTCATCATTATCCTATTTATTGAACATATTAACAAATTGATACTTCACTGGCTTACCTTCTCTTTAATTAAGGCATCATATATTGTGGGGTCAAGCTTCAATTATTTGGTACCTTTGAAGGTTTTCAACCCAATTATAACATGGCTAATACTTTTACCATATCCACCTGTCATGCTCTCACTCTCTTCTGGAGATAGTTCAGTCACCTACATTAAGAATTGTTTAAAAATGAGATCAACTTCACAACGCATCAACATCGCAGAATTACTGTGTCAAGGACTGGACACAAATGATACGAGAAATGGTATGGAGTATCGACTTGCCTCTCCTTCATAAACTTCCTTATTTTCCTTGATACGAAGACCAATAGCTCGACAAAAATTTTCCATTAAAACCTCAGTTTTCTTCACTTCTGATGAATACACTTCAGATCCAACCATCGGGCAAAATGGAACCTGCAACATTGAAGTCGATGCTACCGATCACAGACAAGCTATATTTTGGATTGCCAATCCTAATAAAAGTAAATTTTCATAACAAACAAAGAAGATTTACAATGCTCAATCAACTCAAACATTACCAATATTCAATCAATCAACTACCCTCAACCCTAAATCATTTGGGCTCGACTATTTTGAATCATTGAATCCTTTATAAGAATTCCACTCTGCTTGATCCCATTTCATTTCAATACTGGTAAATAAAGCTCAAAACATTATAAATATGATAAAAGAGAAGCATTAAATCCATAACCAAAAAGAGTAAAAAGAATGCACTTTGCTTCCAAGTTCTTGTGATATACCAAGAGCAAGAGCTGTCTTCCCCCGTACCAGGCAGACCAGCAAGCAGTAAAGCCCACCATCTTCTTTTTGCGTATCATATCAACCACAAGCCCTGCAACTTCTCTAGCCGCTGCATGACCCACAAATCCAGCTGCCAGTGGTATTGACATCTCATTGGGCTACAATATAATACAATGTAGTCGCATTCAAGCAACCATATGTTGGCAAATTCAGTATAAACATACATAAGAATTAAACATCAAATTCAAGAAACCTCTTAGTAACTAAAGATCTTGAAATAACATACGAGATCTACAAAAAAGTAATACAAAAGGCCAAAAACCCTAAAACCTAAAAAAATATCAACCCAAAAATTTGTCTAAAAGATAAAAAGGGTAAAAAGAGTAGACTGAGACAAACAGGGGGTTGGTTAGACCTAGCAAAAGATTGAAGCTTTACACAAACTTAATACCAAAGGTCTAAAACCCAAAACCCCAAAAAAATACATTAACCCAAAAGTTTGCTTAAATGGTAAAACAAATAGGGGCGGTTAGAACCAGCACAAGGTTGAAGCTTTACACAAATTAAACACCAAAAGTTAAAATCCAAAAAAACATAGACAAATAATTAACTCAAAAAAATTGCTTAAATGGTAAAACAAATAGGGGCGGTTAGAACCAGCACAAGGTTGAAGCTTTACACAAATTAAACACCAAAAGTTAAAATCCAAAAAAACATAGACAAATAATTAACTCAAAAAAATTGCTTAAATGGTAAAAAAGGGTATAAACAGTGTACAAAGACAAGAGGAGGTTGGTGTAAAAAGACGAAGTTACCTCAAGTCCAAGGTCTTTAATGTGAGTATGAGTGGCGATTCTGTGCTTCTTAGTGGTCGATTGAACCTCTTCTATCTTCTTATTTTTCTTCTTTAATATATCTCTTTAGCCTTCTTTTCTTCTTCTTTGTTTGGGGTTTAAGAGTAGCTTCTCTAATGGAGGCGATGGTGGGGTTTTTGAAGGGGTAAAATTTTTAATGCGCCATAAACCCTAGCATGTTCATATTATTTGAAATAAACCCTCAAAATTTTAAAAAAGTGTCACTTAAGTCCTTTTTGGCTCCTCCATTATTGTTTTTCTTTCTTACTTACTTTTTTCCTTTTTTACCTTAAGGCCAATTGTACTTTCTCGTTAAGACAAAAGAGAATTCTCATCTTCACTCTCTAAATAATATAAAGCATTTCAACTTTTAAGTATGAGGATCAAAACATCTAATTTACATTGTGAAATTGAATGTCTAGCCATTTCTTTGGATTAAAATTTACCTATTCAAGAACTACAAGAAAAGCACAAGAAGAGTTAGTAACATATCTTTTTATAATTAAAGATATGGAAAATGTTTGAAAAAAGTCCTAGCTAGAAAACGCATTTGACTTCTCAAATGATAATGATATTACATAAAATAAGATAAAAAAAGTACGTAGTATTTTGTCTAATATGACCTTCTTCAATTGACAAAGTCGTACACAGTTTGACACCATTTTTTCATCTTTTGTTTTTTTGGCTTCCCACTCGGTGTCCGGTACCCGCATTGGAGCCCGACTATATCCGGATTCGCGCCGTGTAAGGCCCCATTCGGGGGAAGCGTTCCCTACCAAGTATTTTTCCATACCCAGAGCTCGAACCCGAGACCTTTGGTTAAAGTAAGAGCAATCCCGTCCACTGCACCACATCCTTTGGTGTTTCCACAATTTCTTCTGATTTGTGTCTATCTTTTCTTTCTCTTTTTCTTTCTTTTTATTCTCTCTCTCCATTACACCAAATTTTGTAAGTAAAAGCAACTGATACTCCAAGATGTGACACTATACCTGTTGATATATGAAAAGGAAAGATAATATAAATTGAGGTGCATCTAAAACGTTTGCCATCATTAGTCAGATGCAAGACACTATGAATCTTAAAAGATAAGAAGTTCCAAATATGACATTTACGTCAATTAGATTATTCATTACATTAAGTTACCAAATAGAAAATAGTACACACATTTCGGATTCTATTTAGTAAGTGATTGCAACTTCCATAACAAAGATAAAATCAAATAAATATACACGCGAACAAATGCGTGCTTCTCAGTGTTTCTCAGGTGATTTGCACTTCAAATAGAAGCAAGAAAGTGTTCTGAAGACAACAATGGGAGAACAATCGCGTCATGTTTTTAGGAGGCATGCTTAAAACTCAGCCACAAGTCCTACTATTCTGGTGAACAGCTTCAACTTGACAATAGCTTCCTAATCTCCAGTTCCATCTTCCAGTGAGGAGTGTCTTTCAAGTATAGCAATAGTTTCTTCCTTGGCACTGTCATAAGATTATCAATTCATCAAATTACGCACAACAGTCTTATGACTTTCTCGTCCCAATGGTCAAACACCAAGAAAACATTCGACAATACAGTCGTAGTTGTACACAACAACAACAACCCATTGTAATCCCACAAGTGGGGTCTGGAGAGGATAGGATGTACGCTGCCTTACCCCTACCCTGGAAGGGCAGAGAGACCGGTTGATCATGTTATGGACATTATTTAGAGCATTACCCCAGATAGAAATCTAGAAGGCAAAAAAAATCCAATAGCTAATATTCCATGTGAAGACTCTGTACTAAAAAAGGATAAAATATTATTTTGTCCCTCAAACAAGAAATGATTTGCAAATAGAATAAAAAGGGGCGAAGTCATAGCTACAACCAACAAAACAAGAACTAGAAAGCATTAAAAAAGGAGGCATGACAAATATTGTATTTCTTAATCTTATTGTATTTATTGGGGAAAGGGAATTGACTATGACTAATTTAGCAAACAATATAAAAATTATCATGCACCTTCTTACTCATCAAGTATTTTCTGGTAAATTTCATTAATTTAAAAGTCAACTCCTTTGAAGCCTTCTCAAAAGGTTATGATTAGTTCAACTCGACAACAGATCCAATCCTAGATAATGGAAGCTTACCTCCCAAGTCTAAGAATCTTGTACTTTCCCAACTTGGTAAGATCCACCACAGTTGATCCTGCTCGCCCAGTCGGAAGAATTCTGCCATCATAGACATTTGCACAATGCTCCCAAAGGTTGTCAAAATCTTTGATGTTTATGCTACTGGGTTGTCCATTGAGGTTAGCGCTAGTAAGTGCAAGGGCACTTCTAGAACCACATGCAATTTCCCTGATGAAGTTATAGTCAGGAACTCGAACCCCTATGCTCTCTAGTCTGGGGTTTAATAACTTCTCAAGTATACTTGACTCACCTGCAAAATATCCATATTAAGCCGTTAAAACAGAAGATTCATAAGAGAAAGATAAAAGCTTCCAAAACTACTTAACATTAGCCAGATTTTGCCTAGGGGAGTGACTCTTCCTGGTCCTTATTCAAGTGTCTTACTTGAAAAGTTACATACAGTTATTATGTAAAATAAAGTAATACTAATTTGAGATATTTAACTTTGTGATCCGAACAGATCTTGAATAAGGATACCCATCCCTGCCACATTTGTTGGACATAACATACAATAAGCTACTAACCTCGCCTTAAGACCACAGTTACAGGTCCTGGAAGTAGGCAGTCAAGCAAGCCACGAGGCAGATGATCTGTCATAGCGTAACGTTGTATATCATGAACATCACCAACACAAATCGCCAGAGGACTTGTATGCTTACGTCCTTTGATCTCATAAATACGATTCATTGCCTCAGCAGAACTACATCAATGCACCATATAAAATTAAACCAGACTTCCCATAAATATGACTTAGAGAAATAAAAAACAAATAAAATTGTCTCCTTAATTGCTAGGTCAAATGAATAAACAGTGAACGACAAGAATGTTTCTTTTTTCTGAAAGTTAAATCAATCTGGAGCCCTAATAAATTTTTCAATGGGGAGTATATTATCTTTTGTTTTCTAACAACCTAGGTTCAAAAGATTCCTCTCTAGTTCACAAAACTAATCAGCACTTGCAGGTTTTGAGCATATCAAGTTTTGGCAGTAATCTTAATTCAATTTTCGTACCAGGCTCTGCTGCTAGCTCATTCAAAGGCAACTTAGCGACACCCATTCACTGGTTTTGCCAATGTCATTATGAAGACCTCCAAGATGAGAGATTGGGTCTCTTTGTGTTCTGTAATTAACTCAAACTTCTGATTCTAAACGGGATTTAGGTTCTTCTCAATGATTTTGGTTAACCTTGAAAAGTGGATGAATGTATACAACCACAAATAGATCAGATTTTCCTAATATTTCATGGTTCTTTAAGCCATTATCCTTTACTACAATTACTATGTGCTTCCCTGTGGCTTAAGCTCCAAATTGCTATTATCGATAGACATGTCGTCAATCAGACCAACAATTTTGGCGGGGCCATTCTTGCAATATCTATCACTAGTGTATTTATCGTGTCATCAATCATATCTGAAAGTCTAAAAAGAACTCTTAAACTTCCACCAACAACCCTCAAAATATTATCAATTTTAGTGTTTGGCTTAGAAAGTATGCTATAATAACAACAAAAGCAAGGAAAGTTGAAGATTTTAGAGTTGAATGGGTACAGAAGCAGCCATTGCAGCTTCAATACCTAAGACAATATTCAGATCACCAACCTATCGGAGGTCAATGTCCTTTATTTGGGATAACATGAGGTGTCCCAGCATAGCACACTTTGACTATTCAACCGAATACCATCTACCTATGGGATCAATCTCTAAGATTTTTACCATTGAACCTATTATATTTTTAAAGTTAGAGGTTCATATCTACTATTTGTTGCAACAACAACAACAACCCAGTATAATCCCATAAATGTGGTCTGGGGATGGTAGTGTGTACGCAGACCTTACCCTTATGCTAGGGTAGAGAGGTTGTTTTTTGATAAAGTAAATTGTATTAATCAAAAGGGAGAGAACTCCCGTATATAAGAAGTATACCAAAAAGTAGTGAATTTACATCAGAACATGATTCTCTACAAAAGACGTCCAATCTTCTATACGAATGAGGGCTATATGAGTGCACCAAAAAGCGATCAACGATAAAAGACTATTCTTAAGATGTGAAAAAGGAGACTCAATCTCCTCAAAAGCTCTCCTATTTCTCTCCCCCCAAACTATCCACATGAGAGATAACGGGGCGAACTTCCAAGTCTTTTGCTTTCTTCTTCTACAAAAACCGGCCCAACTATATAGCATTTCCTTTACAGTGCTTGGCATCACCCATTGAACACCAAAAAGATTTAGGATCGTCCTCCACAAAGCTGAGGACATAGGGCAATGCAACAAAAGATGATCAACTTCTTTCCCTGAGCTTTTATACATATAGCACCAACTAACAAGTGTAATTACCCTCATTTGCAGATTCTCAGCAGTCAAAATCACTCTCCTTGCCACTAGCCATGCAAAAAAGCACACCTTCGTGGGCGTATTAGGAATCCATTATCTATCTAAGGGATCTGTTTCCTCACTCCTCCAAATGATATACAGAATTTCATACACCCTTCAAGTGTTCAAGTGAGTTTGTTAAGACAAACTATGATCTTTGGTATTCCATAGCTAGGCTATAGAAAATATTGACCATGTGGAAAAGAAGCACAGAAATCAGCTACATGCATACAATGCTAGGGTAATCTTTTATTTGCGCCATAGCAAAATAAGAAATGCAACTGCATGGGAAATAAGACAAACCTGGACTATCTCCTTCTTTTTGTGAACCTCTCCTTTAGGAAGTGGAACATACTCCTCTGCGTCAAGATCAAATTCTGTGGCAAAAGCATCACTTATGCCCACTTTTTTAATCGCTCCACTATTTGATTCAATGTAAATGACATCACCAACAGCTACCTACACATATATCGTGGAGACAGGAGATATCAACAGAGAAGATTAGGCTCCCTTGCAAAATAAATGTATATGGGATAGAAGTAAATTAAAGACAAATATAATTCTTGCAATGCCTTTTGAGAACATGATTCAATAAGAATGACATGAAAGTTAATGAATTTACTCAAGAGAAAATATATTTCAATATAGATTTAAATGTTGGATGTTAAAATAAATTTCATCATTATCCAATTTATTGAACATATTAACAAATTGATACTTCATTGGCTTACCTTCTCTTTAATTAAGGCATCATATATTGTGGGGTCAAGCTTCAATTGTTTGGTACCTTTGACAGTTTTCTTCCCAATTATAACATGGCTAATACTTTTACCATATCCACATGTCATGCTCTCACTCTCTTCTGGAGATAGTTCAGTCACCTATATTAAGAATTGTTTAAAAATGAGATCAACTTCACAACGCATCAACATCGCAGAATTATTGTGTCAAGGACCAGACACAAATGAAATGAGAAATGGCATCGAGTATCGACTTGCCTCTCCTTCATAAACTTCTTTATTTTCCTTGATACGAAGACCAATAACTCGACGAAAATTTTCCATTAATACCTCAGTTTTCTTCACTTCTGATGAATACACTTCAGATCCAACCATCGGGCAAAATGGAACCTGCAACATTGAAGTCGATGCTACCGATCACAGACAAGCTATATTTTGGATTGCCAATCCTAATAAAAGTAAATTTTCATAACAAACAAAGAAGATTTACAATGCTCAATCAACTCAAACATTACCAATATTCAATCATTGTTATAACTATGCGCCAACGATCAGTGGTACCACAAAGGGGTTATAAGGGAGCCATGATTGCTCAATCATTGTTACCACGTGTTGCCAAGATTGAAGATGCGTAAGTATTGAGAGATCACCTAGTGAATCATGTATGGGTGCAATGGGCCCTGGCATCTAGTTGACTTATATGAGCTGTGAAGGTTAACATTGTGGATTATCGGATGTTGTGACTTATGGCTTCATGCCAAGTGAGGGGAGTCCACTATCAACGATCAAATTGCGGGGTCATGTGTTATACCAATTTGGGCCTGAAATGTATTTATATGGAATTGTAAGGTTTTCCAAAACTTGTATATGATCAAGAGCTGAGATTTGAATGGGATGATGATGAGACTTGAGATATTCCCGCGTCCTTAATAATTCTACATTTCAGTATCAGCGGGGTCATGGAAACATATTCAGTATACTCGTAGTGCTTAAGTTAATCACAACACTCGCGTGGGGCAGTCATCTTTTAATGTACCAGTGGCATGGAATTTCCTGCAATGGTTATTTAAGTTATCCGGTACGGACTCAGTATGAGTAGTCGAACTGCGGATGGGTTGTTATGAATATGGTGATAGTAGGAACATCCTGAGAAATTGTCCTAGACTCGGGAGAAATCTGTTCCATCAGAGCACATGTGCCACGTACTCCATTACAGTTACTACTCTACTTACACTACCAATTTGGGGTGGAGGAAAAGCGGGTAGATGGCGCCTAAGAGGTAGAGGCTCGACCCCTTTGATATATTTGCTATGGTATAACTGAGATCGCTACACTAGATGGAATCGTTACAAGTACAAACTCGAGTTATCATAAAGGAACAATTTTCTTAACTTGATTCGGTTATGAGTATCGAGGCAAGTCCTCCTAATATGCTCCAATCATGAGTAAGTTTTGTAATCTTAAAATTTCTTATATGGATACTTCTATTGGGAGATTATATGGAGATAGCTATGTCTACCATTATGTGTTGGTCACTAAAAATAGTTGTGAGGCTAAAAGTGACTTTTGTTAATCAATTCGATGAATTTGATGTAATTTCTAAATAATTGATTTCAGTTGTAAATTATATGCCCTACCGGTATGAGGGATCATTGTATGTTATGATTTTTTTTAACGGAAATTATTTGAAAGAAGGAAGAAAGGAAATGGAAAATTTTAGTTAGCAAAATGTGCAAAATACTTGTGATTCAGAGTTAAGGACGAGATCCTCATATTTTTATATGATATGAAATATTTAAACTGGGTTACAAGCTGTGGTGGATGTTATATAATGACGAGGTCCTGGTGGTAAAAGTTTATGTGTTCAAATTCTCCTTTTACGAAATTAAAATTTATACCTTAGTACTTATAGAGAGTCATGCCTATGAGGCTTATTTGAAAATTCTTGTATGAATATTCCTGTACATAATTTATCAAATTGTAATGTAATTATTGAGTTTTAGCCTACAAGATGAGTGCCAAGGTGGCGTTGTGACTCATTAATTTGGGTAAGTTATTATGAGGTCTTCATACCTCGTTGTTAGTAAATGGAAGTTTGAAAGAAGATTTTTTTTTGACATGAGGTTAATTGGTGATTTTGTAATCGATTATGTACAACTATTAAAACCAAAGATGTGATTAAGGTCATGCATATGATGTGTTTCATGTCCAGATATCATTATGATAATATTGTACTTGTAATGCGGAGATTAGTATTATTGATATATACATTGTGGAATATTGTTGAGTTGTGTATGTGTTGTTAGAAGTTGTCTTGGCGTTACTCTGACAGGTGGATAGGCCTAATTACATGGGAGACTCTGTAGAAATTTCTGATTTGGTAGTTAGAAAGATTTAGGACATTGAGTTGTGCAAAGAAAGAGATAAGTTACATTATGTGTTTGAGGACGGACTCTACTTATTATTTGAGAACAAATGACCCTAAGTGTGGGGATAATGTAACACTCCGGATTCGAGGGGTGCAAAGGCACAAGTTGCTATAGCCAATCGAGATTAATATCATGTGTTGATGTGAAGATCGGACCTTTATGAAAATGACTGGAGTGTAAGAAATTTGGTCTTAAAGTTTGCAAATATAGATAAAGGAAATAATCTCAATTGAAATGGTGTTGTCGGACTTATTACGAATGCGGTAATATGGGATCAACCATGAGTATATGTGTAAAAGTAGAAACATCAAATTTGAAACCTCAGAACAATCTTAGTACGTTCGAGGATGAACGTTTGTTTAAGAGGTGGAGAATGTAACGACCCGATTGGTCGTTTTGAATAAGTACAACCTCGTCTCCCCACATATTGCTAAATTCATGCTTCACGGTTCTTATGTAACTTGCTGGGGAAATTGGTTCGGGTTCGGAAAAGTTTTTGAAAGGAATTGAGATACTTAATCTCCAAGAAGAGAGTTTAAGTTGAATTAAATTGACCGGTAGGAGAAATATGAGTAAACGAATCCGCAATAGATTTTTGATGATTCCAATAGCTCCGTATGGTGATTTTGGATTTAGGAGCATGCCTGAAATATTATTTGGAAGTTTGTTGTTTAATTAGGCTTGAAATGGCGAAAACGAGAAGTCGCAGTTTGGATGTTTGACAGAGGGGTTGACTTTTTGATATCGCGATCAAAATCCAACTCAAGAAGTTGGAATAGCTTCATTATGTCATTTATGCGCAAAATTTGGGGTCAATCGGACTTGATTTGATAGATTTCGGCGTTATTTGTGGAATTTGAAAGTGTCTAAGTCCTTAGGCTTGAACCCGAGGTGGATTTGGTGTTTGGAGTAATTCGAAGGCTCGACTAAATTTTGATGATGTTATGGGATGTGTTGGTACATTTGGTTGAGGTTCCGGGGGCCTCGTATGTGTTTCGTGGTGAATTTCGAGCGAGTCCGGGCATTTCGGAACTCTGAGATGGGTCTGGCACTTTTGGGAGTGCAGACCGCACCAAAAATATGCATACCACAGAGGGGAGTGCTGACTGCACTAAATGGTGTGCGGACCTCAGTGCGGACCGCACAAAATGGCGTGCGGCCGTACACCAAAAATGGTTTGCAGGATCGCTGATCAGACTTCGGAAGCTCATATCTTTTGATCTACAAGGGATTTGGGGATGATTCAAAAACGAAAGTTGTGGAATCTGGGAGGTGCACTATAAATATGAGGTTTAGGGTTTTATTTCATATTTTGACCTAGAGAGCTCGGATTTTGGTGATTTTCGAAGGTTTTTCAAGAAATTTATCGGGGTAAGTGATTCTAACTCGGATTTGGCTAGAATACATGAATCTATCATTGAATTCATCATTTGATTCGTGATTTGGGAAAAATAATTGTGAAATCTTTCAAAAATGTAAAATGATGATTTGAAAGACCAAATGGTATCGGAATTGGATAATTTTTGTATAGGTGAACTCGTATCGGAATGGGTATTCGGTTTTTGTAAATTTTATCAGGTTTCGAGGTTCGGGCCCGGGGAGTTGACTTTTGTTGACTTTTCGCAAATTGTATAAGAATCATAACTTTGTTAATTGGAATTATTTTCTCTTGCATTGTTAGATGTATTCAAGTTGTTTTGGCTAGATTGAGTCGAGCATTGATGAACTGGAAAGAGGAAAAGCTAAATTGAGTATTGAATTGGCTGGATTGACGTAAGTATCTTGCCTAACCTTGTGTGGGGGACTATCCCTTAGGATTTGAGTCCTCTATGCTAATTGTAATCCGTGCATGCGAGGTGACAAGCGTGTGCTCGGTCTTATCTATGGAAGAATTGCCCTTTAAGATTCTTAGGTCCTTATGTGGAAAGTATCCTGTTATGATTGGGTTTCCTAGTTGCTTAAATTGCCTCTATATACTCCATATGATGTTGTTAGCTTTCCTCTAATTCTTACGTGTTACATTGATCCTAAATTGCTTTAATTGAAGTGATTGCCTTCCTTATTGTTTTGATACTTCTTGGTTGTGAGTTCTTCTATGACTTCGTGCAAATAGGTTACATGTCCAATTGTTGTGGTTGCCGGTGTAGTTATCATGTGCTTATTATGTCTTGTTGTGTAGTTGAGGTTTTATTGTGAAGTTAATTGTTGGTACAAGTTTGGTTATAACTGATTCTCTTGATGGGACATATTTAATTCTTACTGTTGGTTCTCTTGCTGGGACGTGTTTATTCTTGTTGTTGACTCCCTTGCTGGGATATTGTTGTTTCCTTATTATTCCCTTGCCGAGATTCTTTTATAATTGATGATGATTTGTAAATGGGAGCAGGTTGCACGCTTGCAACAAGATGTATGAAATGGGAGCAGGTTGAATGCCTGCAACAAGATATATGAAATGGAATCAGGTTGCACACCTGCAAAGAGATATATGAAATGAGAGCGGGTTGCACGCCTGCAATAAGATATATGAAATGGACGCCTGCAATAAGATATATGAAATGGGATCGGGTTTCACGCCTGCAACGAGATATATGAAATGGGAGCGGGTTGCACGCCTGCAACAAGATATATGAAATGGGAGTGGGTTGCACGCCTGCAACAAGATACATGAAATGGGATCGGGTTGGAGTAATTCGAAGGCTCGACTAAATTTTGATGATGTTATGGGATGTGTTGGTACATTTGGTTGAGGTTCCGGGGGCCTCGTATGTGTTTCGTGGTGAATTTCGAGCGAGTCCGGGCATTTCGGAACTCTGAGATGGGTCTGGCACTTTTGGGAGTGCGGACCGCACCAAAAATATGCATACCACAGAGGGGAGTGCGGACTGCACTAAATGGTGTGCGGACCTCAGTGCGGACCGCACAAAATGGCGTGCGGCCACTCAAATTCTGTGGAAAAAGCATTACTTCTGCCCACTCTTTTAACCGCTCCACTGTTTGATTTAATGTAAATGACATCACCAACAACTACCTGCACATATATCGTGGAGACAGGAGTTATCAACAGAGAAGATTAGGCTCCTTTGAAAAATAAGTGTATATGAAATAGAAGTAAATTAAAGACAAATATAATTCTCGCAATGCCTTCTGAGAGCATGATTCAATAAGAATGACATGAAAGTTAATGAATTTACTCAAGAGAAAATATGCTTCAATCTAGATTCAAATTTTGGATGTTAAAATAAATTTCATCATTATCCTATTTATTGAACGTATTAACAAATTGATACTTCACTGGCTTACCTTCTCTTTAATTAAGGCATCATATATTGTGGGGTCAAGCTTCAATTGTTTGGTACCTTTGATAGTTTTCAACCCAATTATAACATGGCAAATACTTTTACCATAACCACCTGTCATGATCTCACTCTCTTCTGGAGATAGTTCGGTCACCTACATTAAGAATTATTTAAAAATGAGATCAACTTCACAATGCATCAACATCGCAGAATTACTGCGTCAAGGATCGAACCCAAATGAAACGAGAAATGGGATGAAGTATTGACTTGCCTCTCCGTCATAAACTTCCTTATTTTCCTTGATGCGAAGACCAATAGCTCGGCAAAAATTTTCCATTAAAACCTCAGTTTTCTTCACTTCTGATGAATACACTTCAGATCCAACCATCGGGCAAAATGGAACCTGCAACATCGAAGTCGAGCCACCGATCACATACAAGCTATATTTTGGATTGCCAATCCTAATAAAAGTATATTTTCATAACAAACGAAGAAGATTTAAAATGCCCAATCAACTCAAACATTATCAATATTCAATCAATCAACTACCCTCAACCCTAAATCATTTGGGCTCGGCTATTTTGAATCATTGAATCCTTTATATGAATTCCACTCTGCTTAATCTCATTTCATTCTAATACTGGTAAATAAATCTCAAAACATTATAAATATTATAAAATAGAAGCATTAAATCCATAACCAAAAAGAGTAAAAAGAATGCACCTTGCTTCCAAGTTCTTGTGATATACCAAGAGCACGAGTTGTCTTCCCCGTACTAGGCGGGCCAGCAAGTAGTAAAGCCCGACCCGCCATCTTCTTTTGGCATATCATATCAACCACAAGCCCTGCAGCTTCTCTATCTGCTGCCTGACCCAAAAATCCAGCTGTCAGTGGTATTTTCATCCCATTGGGCTACAATATAATACAATGTAGTCACATTAAAGCAACCATATGTTGGCAATTTCAGTATAAACATACATAAGAATTAAATATCAAATGCAAGAAATCTCTTGGTAACTAAAGAACCAACAATAACATATCATCTCTACAAAAAAGTAATACCAAAGGCCAAAAACCCTAAAACCTAAAAAAATATTAACCCAAAAATTTATCTAAAAGATAAAAAGGGTACAAAGAGTAGACTGAGACAAACAGTGGGTTGGTTAGACCCAGCAAAAGATTGAAGCTTTACAAAAACTTAATACCAAAGGTCTAAAACCCAAAACCCCCAAAAAAATACATTAACCCAAAAGTTTGCTTAAACGGTAAAACAAATAGGAGGCGGTTAGAACCAGCACAAGGTTGAAGCTTTACACAAATTAAACACCAAAAGTTAAAATCCAAAAAAAATATAGACAAATAAAAACTCAAAAAAATTGCTTAAATGGTAAAAAAAATGTATAAAAAGTGTACAAAGACGAGAGGAGGTTGGCGTAAAAAGACGAAGTTACCTCAAGGCCAAGTCCTTTAATGTGAGTATGAGTGGCAATTCTCTGCTCTTAGTGGTCGATTGAACCTCTTTTATCTTCATATTTTTATCCTTTAATATATCTCTTTAGCCTTCTTTTTCTTCTTCTTTGTTTGGGGTTTAAGAGTAGCTTCTCTAATGGAGGCGATGGTGGGGTTTTTGAAGGGGTAAAATTTTTAATGCGCCATAAACCCCAGCATGTTCATATTATTTGAAATAAACCCTCAAAATTTTAAAAAAAGTGTCACTTAAGTCCTTTTTGGCTCCTTCATTATTGTTTTTCTTTCTTACTTACTTTTTTCCTTTTTTTACCTTAAGGCCAATTGTACTTTCTCGTTAAGACAAAAGAGAATTCTCATTTTCACTCTCTAAATAATATAAAGAATTTCAACTTTAAGTATGAGGATCAAAACATTTAATTTACATTGTGAAATTGAATGTCTAGCCTTTTCTTTGGATTAAAATTTACCTACTCAAGAACTATAAGAAAAGTACAAGAAGAGTTAGTAACATATTTTTTTTATAAATAAAGATATGGAAAATGTTTGAAAAAAGTCCTAGCTAGAGAAATCATTTGACTTCTCAAATGATAACGATATTATATAAAATGAGATGAAAAAAGTACGTAGTATTTTGTCTAAAGTCGTACACAGTTTGACACAATTTTTTTTTGGTTTTCCACCCGTTGTTCGGTACCCGCATTGGAGCCCGACTATATCCCGAGACCTCTGGTTAAAGGAAGAGCAGTCCTGTCCACTGCACCACATCCTTTGGTGGTTCCACAATTTTTTCTGATTTGTGTCTGTCTTTTCTTTCTTTTTATTATCTCTGTCCATTACACCAAATTCTGTAAGTAAAATCAACTGATACTACGAGATGTGACACTATACCATTTGATATATGAAAAGGAAAAATAATATAAATTGAGGTGCATCTAAAACGTTTGCCATCATTAGTCAGATGCAAGACACTATGAATCTTAAAAGTCAAGAAGTTCCAAATATGATGTTTACGTCGATTAGATTACTCATTACATTAATTTACCAAATAGAAAATAGTACACACATTTCAGATGCTATTTAGTAAGTGATTGCAACTTCCATAACAAAGATAAAATCAAATAAATATACACGCGAACAAATGCGTGCTTCTCAGTGTTTCTCAAGTGATTTGCACTTCAAATAGAAGCAAGAAAGTGTTCTGAAGACAACAATGGGATAACAATCGCGTCATGTTTTTAGGAGGCATGCTTAAAACTCAGCCACAAGTCCTACTATTCTGGTGAACAGCTTCAACTTGACAATAGCTTCCTAATCTCCAGTTCCATCTTCCAGTGAGGAGTGTCTTTCAAGTATAGCAATAGTCTCTTCCTTGGCACTATCATAAGATTAGCAATTCATCAAATTACGCACAATAGTCTTATGACTTTCTCGTCCCAATGGTCAAACACCAAGAAAATTTTCGACAATACAGTCGTAGTTGTACACAACAACAACAACAACAACCTAGTGTAATTCTATAAGTGGGGTCTGGAGAGGATAGGATGTACGCTACATTACCCCTACCCTGGAAGGGCAGAGAGACCAGTTGATCAAGTCATGGACATTACTTAGAGCATTACCCCAGATAGAAATCTAGAAGGCAAAAAAAATCCAATAGCTAATATTCCATGTGAAGACTCTATGCTAAAAAAGGATAAAATATTATTTTGTCACTCAAACAAGAAATGATTTGCAAATAGAATAAAAAGGGGCGAAGTCATAGCTACAATCAACAAAACAATAACTAGAAAGCATTAAAAAAAAGGAGGCATGACAAATATTGTATTTCTTGATCTTATTGTATTTATTGGGGAAAGCGAATTAACTATGACTAATTTATCAAACAATATGAAAATTATCATGCACCTTCTTACTCACCAAGTATTTTTTGGTAAATTTCATTAATTTAAAAGTCAACTCCTTTGAAGCCTTCTCAGAAGGTTATGATCAGTTCAACTCAACAACAGTTCCAATCCTAGAAAATGGAAGCTTACCTCCCAGGTCTAAGAATCTTGTACTTTCCCAACTTGGTAAGATCCACCACAGTTGATCCTGCTCGCCCAGCCGAAAGAATTTCGTCATCATAGACATATGCACAATGCTCCCAAAGGTTCTCAAAATCTTTGATGTTTATGCTACTAGGTTGTCCACTGAGGTTAGCGCTAGTAAGTGCAAGGGCACTTCTAGAACCACGAGCAATTTTCCTGATGAAGTTATAGTCAGGAAGTCGAACCCCTATGTTGTCTAGTCTGTGGTTTAATGACTTCTCAAGGATACTTGACTCACATGCAAAATATCCATATTAAGCCGTTAAAACAAAAGATTCATAAGAGCCAGATTATAGCCAGATTTTTCCTAGGGGAGTGACTCTTCTTTGTCCTTATTCAAGTGTCTTACGTGAGAAGTTACACACAGTTACTATGTAAAATAAATTAGTACTAATTTGAGATATTTAACTTTGTGATCCGAACAGATCTTGAATAAGGATACCCATCCCTGCCACATTTGTTGGACATTACATACAATAAGCTACTAACATCGCCTTAAGACCACAGTTACAGGTCCTGGAAGTAGGCAGTCAAGCAAGCCACGAGGCAGATGATCTGTCACAGCGTAACGTTGTATCTCATGAACATCGCCAACACAAATCGCAAGAGGACTTGTATGCTTACGTCCTTTGATCTCATAAATACGATTCACAACCTCAGCAGAACTACATCAATGCACCATATAAAATTAAACCAGACTTCCCATAAATATGACTTAGAGAAATAAACAACAAATTAAATTGTCTCCTTGATTTCTAGGTCAAATGAATAAACAGTGAACAACAAAAATGTTTCTTTTTTCTGAAAGTTAAATCAAAGTGGAGCCCTAATAAATTTTTCAATGGGAAGTATATTATCTTCTGTTTTTTAACAACCTAAGTTCAAAAGATTCCTTTCTAGTTCACAGAACTAATCAGCACTTGCAGGTTTTGAGCATATCAAGTTTTGGGAGTAATCTTAATTCAATTTCCGTACCAGGATCTGCTGCTAGCTCATTCAAAGGCAACTTAGCGACACCCATTCGCTGGTCTTGCCCAATGTCATTATGAAGACCTCCAAGATAAGAGATTTTGTCTCTTTGTGTTCTGTAATTAACTCAAACTTTTAATTCTAAACGGGATTTAGGTTCTTCTCAATGATTTTGCTTAACCTTGAAAAGTGGATGAATGTATACAACCACAAATAGATCAGATTTTCCTAACATTTCATGGTTCTTTAAGCTATTAGCCTTTACTACAGTTACTATGTGCTTCCATGTGGCTTAAGCTCCAAATTGCTATTATCGATAGACATGTCGTCAATCGGAACAACAATTTTGGCGAGGCAATTCTAGCAATATCTATCACTAGTGTATTTATAGTGTCATCAATCATATCTGAAAGACCCAAAAGAGCTCTTAAGCTTCCACCAACAGCCCTCAAAATATTATCAATTTTAGTGTTTGGCTTAGAAAGTATGCTCTAATAACAGCAGAAGCAAGGAATTTCCCAGCTAGTTGAAACATGACAACCAAATTAATAAAGATGGAGATTTTAGAACTGAATGGGTACAGAAGAAGCCATTGCAGCTTCAATACCTAAGACAATATTCATATCACCACCCCATCGGAAGTCAATGTCATTTTTTTGGGATAACAGGAAGTGTCCCAGCTTGGCGCACTTTGACTATTCAATCGGATACCAATTACCTATGGGTTCAATCTCTATGCTTTTTAGCATTTAACCCATTATATTTTTAAAGTTATGGGTTCATATCTACTATTTGTTGCAACAACAACAAGAACAACCTAGTATAATCCTATAAGTGGGGTCTGGGGAGGGTAGTGTGTACGCAGACCTTACCCCTACCCTAGGGTAGAGAGACTGTTTTCAATAGACCATCGGCATACTTCCCTCCAAGAACTCCCTACCTTGCTCTTGGAGTGACTCAAACTCACAACCTCTTGGTTGGAAGTGGAGGGTGCTTACCATCAGAGCAACCCACCTTGCTACTATTTGTTGCAATATTAATGAATATTTACACATAAATTACGCTCCACATCAAGAATACTGGGTTCAGATGAACCCGACACTATATGGCTAGATACGTCCCTGGTAACTTTGTCTACCAAGGCTTAGGCAGATAGGAAAAACACCTAGTTTTTGTTATCTCCGATAAAATTTGAATGTTTGTCTTCAAAGTTTGCACCCACTTCACTGACCACTAGGCTGTGGGGTACTCGATCCCGAGCCAATATCCATAGTGCTTTGACCTTTATAAGGTTGTGAACACGAATACTTTCTATTTTAGGTGCCAAAGTTCCCAATGATAATTTGCTGAACTTCAATGAAGTAATTCCAGGAGGTCAATAAGTTTCTAAAAGTGGTTCAATAGATTCTCTTATAATTGCCTTTCTTGCTTAGGCAATAAATGGCCACAATTTTCTCGATTGTTTGTTCAACTATTTGACCTGTTCATAAACTAGGAATAACATACATTCAAGAAAGTTATGGCTACACATTTTCTTTAGATCGTCTCTGTTGAGGGAGCCCATTAGTTTTACATCAGCTGCCTTACCGATTCGCTTGTTGTTCCTGTACCTCAAATGTCGTCAACGTATCATTAAACTGATTCCGAAGATTATCCCCATCAGAATCCAGAAATCAACCACATTCTATTTCAACCCAATTCCCTCTTTATTCTGAAAATAATAACAACGTATATGATAAATACTGAAACAACTTGCTTCTCAAACACAAAATTATTACTTCTTCCTTCATTCTTTACTCTTTTCAGGAACGATCTCCACCAAAATGGTGTTTCTTGGCATTCCCTTTCCTCCACAAAGCTTTGAGGCTAAAGAAGAAAATGTATATTACTTATTTCATTGTACAATGAAATGAACGAGGGTTGGATGATTAAGCATTACTAACTACCCCGCTCCTAAGAGTGGTCTTTCTGTTTGTTCTTCCAACAAAAATGTTTGAAACTTCCTGTTCAGTCAATATGTTATTGCAATACTCTAGGAAAGCTGGGTTTCTTAAGGTCTAATCTATTAGGTGTACTTCTTTCTTTGAGTTAGATTTTATCATTTCCAGGGAGACAGGTGGAAGGAGATACAGAATATGAGAAAGTAGCTTTCTTCACATGGTGTGGAACAGGGAATACAAACCTTATAGCACAACTGCAGATCAAGAAAAATCTGCAAGAATGGAGAGTGACTACAGATATCATTCCTTTAACTTATCTAGTTCCCACTTCAGGCACACAGTGTCCTTTTCACAAGCCAAATTTCCCAAGTACCTAAACAAATGACACTGATTCCGGGTCAAAAAAGAATAATTCCTCATTAAGTTGACATCCTATGCTCAATTAGCTTACCACGTGTTGTGATAGTTTAACTATCACGGTGAAGAAACCTCCAAAAAAATTTCCCCGAAACTTCACCTCATTTTTGGGTAGTAATAAATATGTTAACCTAACAAAGCCAAATCCCAAATAAGATAGTCTTCGCGTAACTGGTAAAGTTGCTGCCATGTGACTAGGAGGTCACGAGTTCGACCCGTGGAAACAGCCTCTTGTAGAAATGCAGGGTAAGGCTGCGTATAATAGAACCTTGTGGTCCGTCCCTTCCCCGAACCCCGCGCATGGCAGGAGCTTAGTGCACCGGGGTGCCCTTTTTTAGTATACCAAAACATCATGTTTGCCTATTTCACATCTTCCCTGTAAGCTTCTCAACTAATTTCTATTTGCTAGTGTCTAAGAAAAATCAAAGCTTTACTCCATTAAAATGTCACAGTTTAGAACTACATTGAATCGAAAGGCAAAAATATCAACAAGAAAATTTAGAATACTTTGCAACATAATTTTGGTGTTTTACTGTACAAGCCTACTTATTAATTCAAGCCTACTCTTTCCTCTCCAATCTATTTCCTTTATCCAATACAAAATAGACCAAAACCCAAGAGTACTAACAGTGTATTAGTATAAAGTATACTCAAAATATTACATAACTATATATTTCTATGGCAGTTCATTTCTCTAGTGTGTGTGACATGTCATCAAAATTAAAGGCATATCAAGCATCACAAGCAAAACCATATAATGTATCAGTGGGCACAGTTATAACTTTTCCAGCTTTGATAGCTTTAATTGCCTCTTCGGCACAATCTTCTGTTGCAGGACTCACAGAAACTACCTTAGTCTCCACATTCCCATCACTTTTCTCCAAATTTCAAGCCATGTTTTTCACACTAAAATCCCTCCTACTTCTTGTCCACAATTTAAAAAATCCAATCTTTTCCACCCTGCCAAAAAAAGAAGGAACAAGAAGCCAAAAAGTTTAATCTTTGTTATGTCTAAGCAAAACTGGAAACAGAATTTATAATTATAAGAAGAAAAGGGAAGAAAACTAACGATGAGTGTTAATATCAAAGAGCACCTCGAAAAGGGTGAAATAGAGAGGTGAAGTAAGGGAGAGTTTGGGCTATTTTCGTGAGTGTGGTGGCGTTCATCAGTCTTCTCTCCTCTACAACTTTGCTCTATTTATGTTCTCTGCAGCGTTTTATCTCTTCAAGAAAATACATGCCCTGTTTGGTTGGAGGCCTAAGTCTGAAATTCAGCCGCCAATTGACACTTAAGGCTACCGGGTACTCTTTTTTGTTTTTGTTTTTGTGAGTACTCTATTTATTTCCTTTTTCTTTTCTTTCTGCTTAACTAAAAATCAAATGGGAATTGGGATATTTACAACTGTTACAAATTCTATATACTAGTATTAGTACCCGCACGATGCGCGGTTGATATTAAAAAAAATTATCATAATAAATTTTATACTCAAAGTAACAAATATGTAAAATTATCACTATTGAGTTTTAAAGCTCAACTATTTGTCTGCTTGCATTGTGTTTAATTAATACAGTTTCTTGTATTAAAATTTTATCACTTAAGTTAAAAACATATTAACTTTACCGCTATAGCATTTTAACGATATGAAAACACAAAATAAATATATATAATTTGTGATACAAATAATTTGAATTGATCAATTAAAAATACATAATAATTAGATGAAAAATAGATTCAATGACGCATCAAAAAAATACAAAATTTATTTATACACCTCGTATATAGGTTCATTCTTATTTGTCTATCATCTATTATACTAAAATCTTCAGCTCTTCTATTTGTAAACTGTGAAAGAGCAACATAATATTGTGCTTCTATTAATACTGATTTCTTCAAAACCAATCCCATCTAAGACAATAATTGACCTCAATTTGTATTATGATAAGCCTCTTTTTGTTTTAGTTTTGGGTTTTTTGGGGGGTTTTCAAGCAAACCTTTTTTATTTTTGACTAAATTATTTTCTCAAGTTTGAACTTTTATGTTGTTACTACTACAAAATGCATTTTTTTTCACTGTTGTTTCTTTTTTTCTTGTTCTTTTGTTAATTTTATTTAATTTTTTATACTAATAAACTAAACATAATCGTTATTGCACCAAACATCAACTTCATTCCACTTCAAAAATATTTTTCTTGACTTTTATTTTGCTAAGATTTAAGTTATGTGATATATTATACCAATTTTCTTGTCTTGTATCAAATTATAATACTTACATTTGTATTTTTTTTCTAAAAGTTTTGTTCTTTTTTTGGTTTCCGTACTTATTGTTATTGTATTATTCATTAGATAGTATTGCTATATTACCATATAACTTTTATTAGCTTACCACTTTCTTAGTGTCCTTGATTGCTCCCTTTTTAGTTGTGACGATCCGACCAGTCGTTTCATGAATTACCGTTCCGTTTCCCCCATTTCTGCTTCTAATTGCTCTGTATTTTGGTTCTATATGTGATCGAGTTGTTTGGTTAAGGTTCGGAAAAGATTTGGTAAGAATTGAGACAATTAGTCTCTTCAGAGTGAGTTTAAGTTGGAAAAGTCAACTGGATATTGACTTGTGTGTTAGAGAGCTCGGATGTGAGTTCTGATGGTTTGGATAGCTTCGGGAGGTGATTTGGGACTTAGGAGCGTGATCAGAATGGGTTTTGGAAGTTTAGAGAAGATTTAGGCTTGAATTGGCGAAGTTGTTATTTTGGCGATTTCCGGTTGGTAGGCGAGATTTTGATATAGGGGTCAGAATGGAATTCCAAGAGTTGCAGGAGTTCCGTTGTGTCATTTGGGATGTGTGTACAAAATTTCAGGTCATTCGGACATGGTTTGGGTGGGTTTTTTTATCAAAAGCGTAATTTTGAAGATTTTGGAATTCTTAGGCTTGAATCAGATGCGATTCGGTGTTTCGATGTTGTTTTGAGCGTTCTGGAGGTTGGTACAAGTTTAAATAAGGTTTTAGGATATGTTGGTGATTTTGGTTGAGGTCCCGGGGGCCTTGGGTGAGTTTCGGATGGTCAATCGGTCCATTTCATGCTTTAGAGAAGTTGCAGAATTGCAGGTTCAGTTGTTGCAGAGATTCCTTCTCTGCGATCGCGTAGGGGTTCCTGCGATCGCATAGAAGCTTTTGAGGGGCAGTATAGTTTGATCTTTGCGTTCGCAAAGGAGGAGCTGCGATCGCATTGAGGTGGTGGAGTTGTTGATCACGAACGCGTGGAGGTGGTCACGTTCGCATATGGTTGAGTGGACCAGGGGTCTTGGATGGAGGTTGTTCATTGCGAACGAGGTAGCTAGCTTGCGATCGCATAAAGTTAGGAGCTTGAGCATTGCGTTCGCATAAAGTAAGTTTTGGGAGCTGAGAATTTGTGTTTCGCGAAGGTTGTTCCGCGATCGCATTGAAGGAAAATAGGCCTGGGCAGAAGGTTTTTAAGGTCGTCTTGTCCGCGAATGTGGGGTTTATTTCCTCCATAGTTGGTCGTTTTTGGAGCTTTTTGAATGAGGTTGAAGAGGGATTCAAGGGAAATCACTTGGAGGTAAGATTCTTGGACTTAAAACTCGATTCTATTGTGAAATCTACCTAATAAATCATGGAGTCTAAGCCTAAAATTGAAGAATTAGGGCTTGAGATTTAGAGACTTAAAATGAGGATTTGAGGGGTCATTTGGACTCCGATTTCAATGTTCTTGGTATGTATGAACTCGTAGGGAGATAAGGAATCCGTTAATGTGAAAATATTTGAATTTCGAGACGTGGGCCGGGCAGTCGGATTTTGGTAATTTCGTGAATTGTATCTTATTTTGATTATTTTTGCTTGGGCTTCGTTCCCTTAGCATATTTTGAAGTCCTCATTCTGATTTTGGATAGACTTGATGCAAGTGGAGGCTGATTCGTGGGGAAGAGGCGTCGCGGGTTAGAGATTTGACCGTTCGAGGTGAGTAATAATTGTAAATGATGCTCTGAGGGTTGAAACCCCGGATTGTGCATCGTAGTGCTTTATTAAGGGGAAGTTTACGCTTGATGACGAGCGTGGAGCCGTGCACTATTGGGGATTGTGACTTAGTCCATCCCGATTGACTATTTTACCGCGTATTTGACTGAATCTATTTGCTATCATCATGATTTGGGCTGAATGCCATATTTGGGCCTTGTGCCAACTATTTGAACACTTCGGGGATTTATATTGATATTTCCTCACCATTTTGAATATTTACTTGAACTTAGTCATATAATCTTCCACTGTTTCCATACTCAGCCATGTTTTACTCAGTTTTAATACTTAAATGATATTTTAAAAAATGTTTGGGCTGAGAAACACTGATTTATTACTACCCGAGTGGCTTGTGAAGATTTGTGACTTAGTAAGGCTGATGGCCTATGTTGTGAGGAAACACTGATATTGATTTGAGGCCGAGAGCCTGTTTATGATGCCACGAGATGGCTTGATATTGATATGAGGCCGAGAGCCTATTTATGATGCCACGAGATGGCTTGATATTACTCTTGGGCCGTAAGGGGCCCCTCCCGGAGTCTGCACACCCCCAGTGAGTGCGGGTACCCATTGTGATGTGAGATTGAGCCCGAGGGGCTGGTATTATTCTGAGTTGTTGCCCAAGGGGCGGATTTGTCGATACTGTGTCCGAGGTGCGAACTTCTATGTGTTTATTTTTCTTGTCAATTATATGCTTACTTGTTGAGAAAGAATTTTACTTATCTTTTAACTGATCTACTATTTTTAAATGGTTTTTACTGCTTCATTATAGAATGCCTTGTGCCTTATGTGTTTTCTCGCTTTTAGTATTTATTTACATTTGTTACTCACTGAGCCGGAGTACTCACTTTACTCTCTCTTTCCCGTGTGCTGATTCAGGCGTAGCTGATCCCACTCCCGAGTGCTGATCCTTCCATCTTCAAGCGGACATTCGGAGTTCATGAGGTAGCTGCTTGGCATCTGCAGCCCCGTGTTTCTCCTCCTTTATTATTTCTATCTTTTATTCACACATTTGTACTAGCTTATAGACTTAACAGACTTGTATTATGACTATTAGATGCTCATGACTAGTGGCACCCCGGTTAGGGCTGTGTTCTGTTGTACTTCCGCATTCTTATGATATTAGCTGCTACTTAGTATTATTAAATCATGTTTTAGACAGTTTTCTTGTTGTTTAGATGTTTACCATCGAATTGGGAATAGTTGGCAATGCCTTGTCTTCACGAGAGGCGCCATCACGACCGGGCCCGGGTTTAGGGTCGTGACAAGTTGGTATCAGAGCCTAGGTTACATAGGTCTCACGAGTCATGAGCAGGTTTAGTGTAGTCTCGCGGATCGGTACAAAGACGTTTGTATTTATCCTCGAGAGGTTGCAGAACCTTTAGGAAAAAAACTTCATCCTCTTGAAATTCTTGTCGTGCGAATTTGTTGATCCGAGTACTGAACTTCCTTTATTCTTTCCTCTCACAAATGGTGAGGACATGCACTACCAGTCTGGATGGACGACCACTAGTACCACCAGCTGTGGCCACCAGAGGCCGAGGACACGGTCGTGGTCGTGGTAGGGGCAAAGCAGCTAGGGCAGTAACTGCAGATCCACCAGCTGCCCCAGTTCAGGATCAGGTCCTAGTTGTGGACACTCCAATAACACCAGCTCAGGCACCAGCTATGCCCATTGTGATTCCGGGTCTTCAGAAGGCCTTGGCTCAGATCTTATCAGTTTGCACTGGCCTAGCTCAGGCAATTTTAGCCACTACAGCTGCAACTACTTCTCAGGCCGGGGGAGGCAATCAGACTCCCACCGCTCGCACACCTAAGCAGGTCGTGCAGGGACTTCAGGCGTCGGGGGCACAT